TTTTTCATGCTCCCTTAATTTTTTCTAGAAATATGTTTTTGTGCATCTACATAATGAAAATTGAATCCCTTCCCAACTCCTCCAGAAAACATTTCAGACATGATTGTTCTAATGGTGTCATCTTCTGTAGTGATATCCTTGCATTTTCTAGCATCTATTATCTTCCTTTTTTTTTTGGCTCTATGATCCACCTGCAAGCACCTTTGACAAATATTTGATAGCCTCTATTCCTACAAGTATTATTCTATAACAGTAGCAAGGATGCCTTCCAATAACGATCCAGTCGTAAGTCTTGTGACCCATTCCCCCTTCTATTAGAATAAAGTACAATAGTTGAGGAACTTGAGAGCCTTCTCATTACATTCAATTGTGATCCAAAGAGTGAGGGAGTTGAAGTTTGTTTTCCACCTTCTGAGGTGATCAGTGGTGTTATGACTAGTTTTATGTGAATCCCTACTCTATTAGAATTTTTATTTCTTCTAATATCACAAGCTTGTAACATTTATGGGCAATCTAATTTGTAAAGAGATATTCCAAGGAGCTTTTTAGTACAATGGTCCCTAAGGCTAGAACAAAATAAATAAATTTCAATTCTAATAAATTTTTTGTTGTATGTTTTATTATTTCTACATCTGAGAGTCAACTCCTCGATCAAGTGACAATCTTAAAGAGTTTCAAAAGAGATTGTTTCAGTATACAAGTACGAGACTAGATTATATTACTTGGGTGACTTCTTGAATAATTTCTACTTCTAATTAATGTTTTAAATTATGCTATTGGACTTTTGTGAATGAATTATTCAATTCTAATATAATATAGGTTCTAACGAGTTCAGGGATTTCCTGGTCTTCAATTTCTAAGCAACGTTTTAAAAGAAAGCTACTGAATTTTCCTTCGTTTAATGTTTTCAGTTTTCTTCAGAAGTAACTTATAATTGCTAAAAGTTAAAGAGTTCATAAGGTCAGAAGTTTTGTGTGTGTTGTGTGATTTCATGGATCTCATAGTGTATGTGCATTAGAAAATATTAGCCCCTAAACTATTTGTCATCAAATTTGGCATTAAAACTTAAGGCTAATAATAATGTCTTCTAAGAGTATGATATAAAATCTGGATCAACTAACATGACATAAAAAGAAACAATTCAAATAAATTTAATTAAATTATGATTATAAATAATTTCAATGTAATTATTATGAGGTTAGAATTATATGCCTATATTCAATAGGATGTGCTCAATGTTTTTTGGTAAAGTAGTTTCTGCAACAAAATTTAAATAGGTGGATATAACATAGAAAGTTAAAGAACATTATTTTTCATTGTATAACTATATAAACTAATTGCATAGTCAGATTAATAACTTTAAAAAAGTAACTACAATGTAGAATATTTTATATAGTTTAAACGGGTTGTATATTTTCTTAGAAATATCATGTTATCACTATCTCTTTCATTAAATTATTTAAGTTAAAAATTAAGTATAAATTAAACAATAATTCATCAAAGATAATATATAATTCTATATACAGAACATACAGTTTGAGAAATATAGCAATTATACTCTTGTTAAGACAACTGCACAAGTTCATAAATTTCTAAAGAAAATTCAATAAAATATGATATAAAACCGATAGAAAACAAGCCAACACAAGTATCTAGCTTGTCAAATTTGACCTCATTAAAAATATTATAGCTCATAAATAATATTTAAATGATGGATCGAATAGAACAGACAATTTACAATTACAGAATGACCGCAAATTTATTTTTTTAAATCCCAATCTACAAAGCAATTGACATCAAAACATGTTAATGAATTTTAAAGTAAAATTGAGGGAGAGTCCAAATAAAAATATGAAACTAAATTTCAATATGAGATCATTTCAAAATGTAAAACTGAATTAGAATCTGAATATATCCCAGATTTTAAAACCAAAGAAATCATGCAAGTTCAAATTGATAAATCTATCGAACTATCTGATAAAATGAGAGAAATACTACATCTACTACTTGAAGCAACTAAGACTTCTGTTTTGAATAGGACTCTTTCATCTCCAGTTTTAGGATTGGTTGTATGAAGAAAAAAAACCTAGAATTCAGCAAAAAATCATCTAAGATATAAAATAATGCTTTTTGCGCATTTCAAAGCTCTTAAATTTGAGAAATATTGTAATTATACTCTTGTTTGGATGACTACACATGTGCACAATATTTTAAAGAAAAATTCAATAAAATCACAAATAAAGCCTGTCATACACCACCAACATAAGCATCTAGTTTTTCAAATCTAATTTTATTAAAAAAAAATTGCAATACAAGTTTTTTTTTTTGCAATACAAGAATATTCTTTAACTGTCGAGATGCAAGAAATGAGTTGGATTTAAAAAATGACACTGATTAATTTTTTTATCCTAAATATGCAACGCAGTTTAAAACAAAACATGTTCGTGAATTTAAACCAAATTTGAGCAAGAATCCAAATCTTAATATGAAAATGATTTTGAGTTAGAGATTATTTCTGATTGTAAAAGTGATTTCGAATATGAATTTATTCCACATAAAATCAAAGAATTATGTATGTTGAAATTGGTAAATCCATTTAACTATCTGATAAACTCTTAAGAAAGTATCTACTAAAATTATATCTACGTCTATGGATCAAACTAATATCAATTTTACTTTTAGTTCTTATTGTCTTGATTTATAATTGTTTACAAAAAATATCATGAAGAAAGCAAACTCACGTCAACTTATCAAAGCGTTTTTTCATGAAAAGTGCCGTCAAAAAAAAGAAAAATCAGATTCCATCTATTAGGTTAAATTCAAAAATAAATAATTCTACATGATAAACCTATAAATCATTTAGATATTTTTTCTTTAAAGAGTTTGTCCGCCCATATACAGATATGACACATTTATGTGGTTTGCCTAATATAAAAAAAATTTATGAAATATAGCAAATATAAATTTTAATTTATATTTCTCATCTTCTCTTGAACTTTGTTATAGCGTATTCATTATGAAGGACATAAATATTTTAAAATTACCATTAAATATACTATATTTGCATTATCAATCAGTCATATATATGAGTTATATGAAAAATATTGGCAGAACGCATAGTATTAATCATGGCAAATATAAATCTATCGAAGACATTAATTGGAGATATATGGTGAAGATAATAATTCTAAGATGGCTCTAGGATGCCAAACATAGATCTGTATTAGAAATCCCTGAGTCTAAGCCCCACAAATATCCCTTAGACTCTAGATGCACAACATTGATCTTCTATCATTGTTAAATTAAGTGTTTGGAGATTTCTATTGTAAGTTCTTGGGCTTCTTCCTTCTTTCTCCATCCCTTCAATTGGGTTGCTCTTGTTGTTTATCTTGGATTTTGTTTCAATGTTCAAAGGCCAATTGTGTTGGCATGGGGCATTGTTTACTGATGGTTGGTTTATGTAGGTCTAGAGATAAACCCAACATTATTTTATTATCTTCCAATAAATTCATAATGTGCAGTATTGTCATAGTTTAGGGATTATTGGTTGGGTGAAAACTTGATGTAAAGCAAGTATTTACCAGCAAAATCTCTTCTTCTTTTTTTTTTTTGAAGTATGTTAAGAAAATTATCTTAATAGAAATTCATTCCCCGTAAAACTGGTGTAAAGTACATGCAACCAAATAGGTTGCGTTTATTTTGAATGAGTTTGTTTTGCATGTATTCTAATTGCAGCAAATCAAACAACCACATAGAGAAGTATGATAATAAAACAACAGATCATGACGGTGATAAGGATCTAGCAACAACAGCCAATGTCAATTTAAAAAGGCCATAATACCATTTATTTTTACTTAAGAAGCAACTTGATCGGAGTTGCAAATTAATGGGTCATCCAGATTAGTCAAAACAAGTAGATTGCTTTTCGACGCTTATATGAATACATGATTGCACGTAAGATCTGCCTGGCCTATCACGGTCAAGTCAACAGAAAGAGGCTTATTTTAAAGCTAGGCAAATATAGTGATGTTGTGTCTACCTACCTTATAGATATTGATATATTGGATGGGCTATATCATGTCACATCAAAATACATCATAAAATAGAAATCTAGTACATTTATTTAGGATAGGGTTAAAAAAAGGAAAAAAGGAAAAAAAAAAAAAAGCTTATGATTTTTCTAGGCGATAAAGAACACGTTTATACTTAGGGCTGCAAACGAACCGAGCCGAGCCGAGTATGTGAGTGTTCATGTTTGTGTTTGTTTAACATTAGCTTGTTCATGTTTGGTTCGTGTTTGATTCGAGCTTTATTATTTGTGTTCATGTTTGGTTCGTTTAATTTAAGGGTGTTCGTGTTTGGTTCATGTTCGTTTGTTTAGTGCTTATCGAGCTTTAAACGAGCTATGTTCATGAACATATATCGCAAACAATATATTGAACAAGCAAATATTAAATTTGTTCATGAACATTCTAAACAAACAATCTAACAAACATGGACAAATATGAAATATTTCTTGTTCATGAAATGAAATTTCTAAAATAAAAGCAGTTGTATATTTAAAATGAAAATATGATTAATTTCTATGAACATATGTTATAATATTTTATTACTTTAAAATTTATTAATAAAAAATAATTATATTATATTATGGTATAATTAAAGTTTTTATATTTAATCGAACTCGAATCGAGCTTTTTATCGAACTTGTTCATGAACATCAACTGATGTTGTTCGCGAACATAAACGAGCTGAACGCATTAGTGTTCAAGCTTGTTTATTTAAGAATCGAGTATTTAAAATATTGTTCAAGTTTATTTGTTAGTTAATTAAACGATCACGAACGAGCTTTAATCGAACCGAACAACGAGTAGTTCGTCGAACGTTTGGTTCGCTTGCAGCCCTATGAATTATACTACTTTTTATATTGATTTACACCAATAGGAAAGATATTCAATTTGCATGCAAAAATATCATTAACTAGGAAGAGAAAAGCATACTTTCTTGCGCTGAGTATAGTCATTTTTCCAATTATCAGTAGGAAAGGAATTCTGTAAATGGAAAATATCTACCTGAACCAAAACAAAATGACAAAAGAATTAGCACAGGCCAATCATAAAGTATAGAAACTACAATAGGTAAATCTGTTCGTAATGGCACTCTGCAAACCAAAATTGCAAACTTACTGTTCCGGTAAAGTAAGTAAGGAAAGATAATCTAATCCCATTTTCAAGCGTTGAGTGAACATGAGCATTAACCAACATACCGGGCACCAAAAGATCAATCGAAAGCCCCTTTAAATCCTTTGTCTGCAAAAAAATAGAAAAATTCACTACGTAGAAAACCAGATAATAATCATAAAAAACAATAACTATTGAAAGCACATTAGACAAAATAATCTAATTTTAAATCAAATAATAATTTAAAAAAATAGAAAGGTGAAAAGCATAAAATCATACAACATATTTAGACTCCAAATCAGCACTAGAGCTTGTATAAACAACAGCTCGGGCTTTATCAACACTCTTCACAACACATTGTAACAATTGTCCTCTACAAATCGGAACACCACCTGTTCGATTCAGAATGATATTAGTAACTTGGATGAAGTGATACAATCATGTTGGTCCTCCTAGATTCTGAAATCTGAGGCAGAATAAAGACATTGTAAAATCATGTAATTCTGTGAAATAAAAGAACAGCTTGATATGTCAAAAACAATTTGAAAGCCATGAATCTACCATTGTCCATCTTTGGGAGAAAGCCACTAAAGGATGGCACGCCGAACTGAAGAATATATCCATGGTCCTCAACACTCCTAACTTGTGCTATCAAAACCTGAATCGCAGAGCAAATATGAGGGATCTAGTATATGAATATGCCATCAATAAACTTGCACTAAAATATCTGTATATATTAATACAAATGAATAATAATAATATGGATGAACAAAGTCCTTAAGTGCACATGAGTACAGGACTACAGGAATGATAAATTGATAATACTTTCAAGTTTTTAGATCTGGTTATCAATTAGTATTTCATAGCTAAAATCAAGCATGCTAAACAAACGAAATAACTTCACGGTATAATTTTCTTCATCAAAACATGCATTCAAGAAAATTGCATCCTCCAGAAGCACTAGTGATCGCCTTCACTTTTTCCAAATTTTGTTTACATTCATAAATATATAAGGAGAATGACATTGGCAGTAAGATGCAAAAGCCGTATTAGTAACAAAGAAAAAAAGGAACAAGAAACTGAAATGTAATAGCCCAAACCGACGATCATCAATTCCATTGCCCGGTCTTGAGGAAGCAAAGAAACATTCAAGGAAGGCAAAGGAGCATTCATTACCTATTTTCAAGGAAGAAGAAGGAACACTCCTTTCATTCTCAAATGAGTATGTGAAGGGTTGGCGGATTCCGGGATTGTGAGATTGGGACAACGGGGTCAATCGAGGAGCTGTGTGAAGGAGACGAAGGACCAACTATCAGTATTTCGTCACTCAGTCGTGTGAAGAAGGCTAGAAGTTTCATCCCTTTATAACTTAGAGAGGGAGACATGAAGAGACAAACATAAAGAGAAAGGTAGTCTGAAGCTCATCAAGCAGGGCTCTCATGCCCAGGAGAGGGACTGAGAGAGGTCGAATAGGTTTTCACATCTTCGACAAGGATGCCATGCAGCTTGTAACCTGTGGAGACAGGAAGGGCAAGCACGAGCATCTGCGTGATAGACGAACTCAATGAAAGGAAAATTGAGTGCAAGAGCCTAAAGTTGATTAAAGATTAAATGTTAAGAGTTTTATAATGAATTTATAAATTAGTTTTTTTGTTATGATTGTAAGATTTTAGAATCGAAAATATAAATAATGTTGATATTTAAATGATAATTTAAAACTAAGAATTTTCAAAATTTCTGAAAAAAATAAATTAATGAAATATACATTTGAAAAATTAAAAAAATAATCAGTTATAATATTTAAATATATATTGTAAAGGATGAAATTTTATTTTAAAATAATAATTTTTAAAATATCATAATAAGATATTTTATTTTAGAAAAAAAATAGCAATTGAATTATGATTTGTTAAATCCTAACCATCCCTTAGCATTTTGATCCCACAGCTAGGATGGGAATCCGTGGGAGGCTCACATGTTAAATCACGACCGTCCCATGGCATTTTGATCCCACGGCTAGGATGGGAATCTGTTAGGCCGGCACCTGAGCCGGCTGGACCGGTCCAACCTGGACCGGTCCAGGTCTTCACCCGACGGAAGCCGCGCGAACAGGGAGGGGGCGGAAAACCCAGGGAGCCTACGTGGAGTCGTTTGGGAGGGAAAATTTGAATTAGAAGGGGGTAATTAGGTCTTTTGTAATCCTCCTTTCATGTTTAATTAGGGAGATGAGGGGGAAATTAGGGTTATCTTGATTTTGAATTTCTTGGGAGATCTAGGGTTTGTTGTTCTTGGGCTCTTGGCATTGCCGGAGATCATTGGAGAGTTTTTCCTTCCTCTCGAATTGACGGAAAGTTGTATCTTGCAAGTGCTTTTCATCCTTTATTGAAATAAAAGCGTTTGCATCGTTTTTCTACGTTTCTCCCTACGTTTTCTCTCAGTTTTTCACTGTTTGAGCTGTGTTCTTGCTGCGGACAGCAGTTTACTTGGCTTAGGTACTTGATTTGGGTTAGGTTTACTTGTGCAAACGAGTATTTCCTATCATTTTACAAAATAGTTGGTGACTTGCCTTAGCTAAAAAATGCTTTGACCAACGTAAGGAAGATAAGTAAATTCAGCTATAATCATTCATAGACATGGTTTAAAAAAGCATTTGACAGGTACACCTTGAGGACCTGAGCAAAAATTCAGCAGATTTCTAGTATTTTCAACATTCCGGATTCAACGATGAAGTCCATTTCGCGAACGGACATCGTTCGTGCAACGTCGCATATCGTCATGTCTAAAGACTGTTGATTTTAATTGTTTTTCTCAAATCGATTGTGAGAGCTGCCCCTTAGGTAAATTTGATGTTATGAACACATCAACACAGTCTGTTTGATGATCAGAGATCGTTTGTATAATTTTATGTAGCACCATGCTTGCCAACAGTCATGCTCATCGTCATTTTCAATTGAGTTACGCACGAATGTCTTTTTCTTAGTAAATTTGATGTTATGAGTGCATCAATGTGATCTATTTCATGATCGGGTAAAGTTTTGAGCCATTTTGATAGCGATTGAGGTGTCCCGATGCTTGTGATAAGCGACATATCCATTAATTGCCTTCATCAATTCACTTGATTGATTGTAGAATATGTATAGATGTCAACAGAGGATTGCGATTGAAGAGAGGAGGAAGATTGAGACAACATGACCTAAATGATATAAGATAAGGGAGAAAGCTATTCATTATGATGATGACTTCAATGAAGATCTTGAGTGATGATATTGTTGAGAACTTCTGATTAGTTACTTGTTATAATCTTAGTTTGATGTTATATATTAGGAGTGAGAGAGATAAACTTATTGTGTTAGCCTATTTTCAATTGTATATTTGATTAGTTAGCCCTTACTCCTTGTTTTCATATCATAAGTTATTTTAATGTTTGCATTATACATCTAGTTCGTGCAATTTGTTACTTTATACTTATTTTAGAAAATAAGGAGTAGCGCAATAAGGTTGGTTTAGTTTAGTTTATTTGTTTTAATTAAACAATATACACGCCTACTTCTCAGGCATCCAACTTGATCAAAATCCCTTGGTCTCTTATCTTAGATATTTTGTACATCTCATTTTCTTATTTCTAATAACCATGTCTATTATATAAATCATAAAAAAATATAGCTTTTACTTTACTCGTATTTTTTAATTTCTAGTTTTTTGTTGATTCACATGGCAAGGAGGGGGCCCACAGCTTTGACAGCTCTGCAATCCGTTGGCTGTAGTTGTAGATTTAGTTTTCTGACACCAAGATCCGTGGGATTGATTCCAAGATTTGTGGGATATAATTATTAGAATCCATTAGAATAAATGACTTTCCTCTTCTATTTATTATAATTCATTAGATTAAATATCTTTCTTTTTCTGTTTGTTCTCCTAAAGTGTATATATATGTAATGATTCCAAGCAATAAAATTCGAATTTAATTTCTCCTAAACAATTTCTTAATGGTATTAGAGCTTAGGAAAATCCTAAGACTTCTCTCTGAGTACTGGTGGCAAACCTTCCTTCCTTTGTTCCAACCTTTAGCCGGTGGTAACTCTCCATCATCCAGCCGATAGCGTCTCTTCAAGAACCAGTAGCCCTTGCCCAAAATTAATCTTCTCTTGCAACCGAGAAAACCCAACCGTGTCCATGGATAGCGAGATTTCATCCTCCTACCCAAATATTACCTTTTTAAACACTTGAAACTCTGGATCTGTAGACAACTCTTTTCCTTTTCCTCTCATCACAAACCACAAATTTAATGGGCAAACTTTTTTGCAATGGTCTCAATCGATGAGAATGTTTATTTGCTGGAGAGGGAAAGAGGACTATTTCACTGGTGAAGCCCCTATACCACCGCAAACTGATCGTTTTTATTGAAAATGGAAAGTAGAGAATCATCAGATCATGTATTGGCTCATTAACTCCATGAATGTAGAAATCGGTGAGAACTTTCTTATTTACGAAACAGCCCAAGAAATATGGGAGGCCATTAAAGAGAACTACTCCAGTTTCAACAACACTTTCGAGCTATTCACAATTGAGACCATCCTTCACGATTGTCGATAAGAGGACCTGATGGTAACTCAATATTTTAATACTCTGATCAATTATTGTTAACAAGGTTTAAAATTGCGTAACTGCGCCTCGAGGCGGTTTTCGTCCTTAAATTTGAAAGTAAGAGATTAATAACGCGAATATAATCAATCACTCTAGAGGTGAGGCAAAATGCAGAAAACAACTAAGATGAAAATAGATTTTAGAGGTAGTGATTAAAAATGGTGGCGAGCGAAAAAAACTAATTATTTATAGAAATAAACAACACTTATAGAATTATGGTAATTCTATTGAAACTAATAAAAGTCAACACTCCGAGAAACAAAATGTTGAGGGAGTAATAATTTTATATTAATTTTTGTCAAGATTTGTACACTGTTGCGTTTAAACTCTGAATTTCCATACACCATACAGCATCGATTCTTAGTCCGTCTTTTGTCGTGTATTCACAACACCATGTGCTATATTTTACAACGTGGTTGTGATAATATAGGCGCGGCTCAAATTGAATTTAGAGGGATCGATTACGAATCCACACTAAGAATTGTATCATGTGAACTCTTTCATACATCACATAAACCATAATATTAAAGACTAACATCATCTATAATGACACTTTGACTGAGCAATCCACAAACATCAGCCACCTGACCCACAATTCACCAACATGCTTACGACAATTGTTATGTAGTGTGATGAGGCAACCAAGCATAGGGCGAATTAAATGTTAGAGCATGTCGACAAATCATGAGCAACAGCAAGCGAGCAGCGATGCATATTCAATCCGTGATGGAATTCATAACCCGGTCTAAGATTATTGAACCTTTTGAGGAGTTATGTACATCTTTAATCCTACACATCCAAAATATAACAATTTGAGGGGTCATAAAGCGACCGATTCCGATATCCTCAGAACTTGTTTTACCCATAATGAGTTGGATCCACAAACTAAAGAAATTAATTTCGTGTTCTCTGTTGGACTCAGAATTGTAGTTTGTGTCCAATTTGATAGCTCCGGTTGCTAGGAGCCAGAGACAAAATAAACACGCGGTCACGATCTCCAGTAGTTGCACTCAA